GCACCCCCTCTTCATTCACATTCATATCAGTTCCATTGTCTGTGCCCCCACCTCTGAAAGCATTTCCAAGCACCCTCCTTACCTTCTTCTCTTTGCTCAAGACTGCATTCTGCAGGGTGCTCTTCAGTCACGCTTCCCCCAAGGTGACCCAAGGACCCCCTAGAACTCTGGATGGCTCCAATGCCCCCAATAATGACCAAGGCCCTAATACTTTTTATAACTCTTTTTGAAAAATGTTTTTATTGATTTCAGGAAGAGGAAGGGAGATGGATATATAGAAACATCAATGTTGAGTGAGAAACATCGGATGCCTCCTGCAAGCCCCCTTCTGGGGACTGAGTCCGTCACCCCGGCATGTGCCCTGACCTAGAATCAAACCGTTACCTCCTGGATCATAGGTCGATGCTCAACCGCTGAGCCATGCTGGCTGGGTTTTATAACTCTCAATGGCCCTCTGTCTCTGAAGTGCTCCCCGATGACCCTTCATTTTTCCGAATGATCCCCTACAACACTCATACCCACCCTCTAGTGAGCTCAACTCATCACAACTCCCAAGGACCCCATCACCCACTGAGGCTCCACATAATTTTATGAGATCAAGACCTTTTCACCTCTCAGAGCTCTAGGGGTCCCAAAAGTCCTTTCCACCCTCAGTGCCTCTCATTGGCCCCAAACATCCCCTTGTCCATCTTAGTGCACTCTAGTGGCAGATATCACCTCTAGGGAACTATGAAGGCCTCCAAGGTTCTCTAGTGTCAACGAAGGTGTTTCAAGGCTCCTGAAGGCTTTCCCTACATGGCCTCCACCACCACCCACTGCTCCATGGCCCTGAGTGATCCAACAATGCTGATGCCTCTGGTGGCACTGTGGGAAGTGCATGGGCCTTAGAACCAGACACTCCTGGTGCTGATACCCCAGCTCAGCCACCAGCCAGCTCTGGGGCCCTGGGAAGCAGACTCTGCTTCTCTCAGCCTGTTTTCTCATTCGTAGAATGTGAACACCACGTGAACCCACAGGGTGATGGAGGGCAAGGTAACACATGAAAGGGCCCAGCCTGATATCCAATACTGAGTAAGTCTTCAATGCTTATTTATTACCTTTCCCCTGGCTCTCCACTCTCGGGCAAGCTAGGCACTTGTTCATTGGAGCTGCGGCCCCATGGAGCACCTCCTTTGTGCCAAGGCCTGCACCAGGTGCCATCCCCGATGAGCATGGCATTACCTAATCCCCTTGCTCTGTTCAAGTGATTGGGGAGGGGCCACCCAGCCTCATAGCAGGTAAAGTTGCACAAGGGGTTAACCAGGGATGGGGAGGACTTTGATTTCCACCTTCTTCCTCCAAAGATATTTTTCTGCCTCTACTTTTGCTTGGGCTGTTCCCTCATCTCAAGTTCTCTTCCCTTCCTGGTGAATTCTCCCTATCCCTCAAGGTGCAGCTCAAGTCCCACATCCTTGGTTAGGTGGTTGGGTATGTGAGCTCTATTTAGACCCAGCAAACCAGGTCCTACCCAGCTCCTCCACCTTCTAGAATATATATATGATATCTCTTTGGGCAGTTTATTTAGTCTCTAAACCTTAGTTCCTTTATATGAAAAATAAGATTAATAACACTTACCTTTAGATTTGTTGTGAGGCTCTTATGAGGTAATGCAGGCATGACACCTGGAACACAGTAGGTGTTCAAGAAGCAGTTCTTATTGCTACCCCTGGCACCCCCTGAGTTCTTGGTTCCTGGTACATTCTGCCCTGTAGTTTCTTATGGGGGTGGTTCTGACACTTCACCTAGCCTGGAAGCTCTGAGAGCACTGCATGCATTACTTCTCCAAGTATGCCCCATAAAGTGGACCTTATTCAAGAGAGAGGCAGAGGAGGCCAGGAGTCGGGAACAAAGGCTGACTTTGCTCCCTTATGGGTAATGAGGTGCCCAGGCAAAGGGCTTGATTTTTAACAGCCCGAGATGGAGCATGGGGCTGAGTATGCAGCAGGGGTGCAGAGGACTGCTAGGGGGAATCCTGAACCAGCCATGTTCCCTCTCATTTCCTTACCATTCTACCTATAGCTAAACTGAGGCCCAGAGAAGTGGGCAGACTTGCAAAGTGCCACACTGCAGAGCTCAAACTGGAGAGAGCTGGGAACAGGAAGGCAGAACAGCTTCTCCCCATGCACTTACTCCCATCCAGAGGAGTGTGGACATCTGTCCTCTTGACTAAGAAGAGCAGGAACACTGAAGGAAAGGGGCCTTTCCATTTGTCTCAATATCCCAAATCCTAGCTGAATACTTGACCCTATTTTCCAAGATTTGCAGCTCTCAGGAGAAAGTGCCAGTTCTTTGGTGCTTGAGCCTCTCCCCCATTGCAGAGAAAGAATTTCTTAGGTCTAAAGTAACCTTTGACTTCATTTCTAGAGCTCTCCTCTCCTCTGGTTATTTGCAGTACCTAATAGAGCTAAGCCGCAGTCAGGCTTTGCCAACAGGGGTCGCTAGTACACACTGCAGCCTGCAGGGTTTACTGGGTAAATTAATGCTTCATGCTACCAACTCGGTAAGCTTAAGAGTCTGCAGATGAGATATCCTGGGAACAGGGAGACCCCACATTTCCATGACCCAGCCTCTTCAAGTCTTGCTGCTGACAGCCGCTTACCACAATACACCTTCAGACACAAGGAGGGAATGGTGTCAGGAGACAGGTGACTGCACCAGTCCCTGTGGCTCTATGAAGTTATGAAGTATTCAGGGACCCTCTGGAGAATCACAAAGATTTCTGAATTCTCAAACTTTGTGGGATGCTTCCCCTGTGAGCATATGTTACCACCTCAGAGAGGGTGAGAAGCCAAGACAGGTTCAGGTGGATCACAAGATCAGGGATTTTAAGCCAAAGAGTAGACTAGACAAGAATGAACACACTGTGTGCAGGTGATCTTACTGTATCATGAACTGTCCGGATAAGACACGCTCTGTGGTATCGAGCCACTCTTTGGAAACCTCAGACACAAATTTAGAGATTTTGTCTAAGTCTGAGAATATCAAAGATTTAGAGCTTAGGCACAATTTATTCAGGATAATAATAGCCAGTGTGAACCCAGAGTTTTATCCCTCACCCTCGGAGCTCACAGGATCCTCAGAGATGAGCAAACAGGCTGGCAGGGGCAGAGCCTAGAGCCAAAACTGGGCTGCATGCTCCAAATCCCCATCTCTTTCTCTCCATTGCACCCCGCCCCCGACATGCAGGTCTGCCTATGAGGACTGGTGCATGAGCTCTGTGTCAGCTGTGGTTGTTGCTATTGTGAAGTGGCTATCACCTACTTTGGGGATTTGCAGCACAAGACACAGTAAGGCACAGTGATTAAGAGACTGGATTTTGAGGTCAGACAGACCTGACTTCTCTTTCTGGTCCTGCTGTTTACTAGCTATGTGACTCTGGGCAAGTGGCTTGACTTCTCTGTGCCTTTCCCATATCTGTAATGTGGGGCAAATAATATATAAACAAAGTAGGGGAAGTGCCTACTTTATGGGGTTGTTGTGAGGATTAAACAGATAACTTGTAAAGCACTTAGCACACATGAAAGGAAGTGTGAGCTCCTGAAACACCAGAGTGTTTCTAACTTGTAATCCCCAGTTAAGACTGCAACCTCCAAACAAGGAGTCAAGATGCTTTTGCAGAAATATCGTGGTAACAAGAAACAGGAAGAAATGAATACCACTTTGCTTATAGTTCATTCATTCCTTTAATTTTTAAAAATGAGTAAGCAGACAATTGTGTGCCCTTTGAGTACCCAATAAAAATGTTCATTATGCAAAACAGTACAACCTTTATCATTTTTAATAATACTGTAAATATCTCAGAAAGGATGTATTGTTTCTAATGAATATCAAAAAAGTCTTCACAATGATGTTTCCCCGGCCCCCACATTTCCCTCCCCACCCACCCCAAAGTTACCCAAACACTAGTAGGAAATTACAAAAAACAAAGAACAAAGAACAAAGGCCCTCCCTCCACCCTGCCCCGTTAGTGATGTTAAGTGAGTGAAAGGTTAAGTGCCGCAGGTATGTACAACGCAGTGCGTGCCAGGAGAGGCCGGGGGCTGTGCATCGGTGAGAGCCTGTGGGGGGAGAACCAGCAGCAGCAGCAGCAGCAGCAGCAGCAGCGGGGAGATGCCCTCCCCAGAACGTGTTGGGAGAAGAGCAGACTACAAGGGACGCGAGCAGGTGGCTCAGCTGAGCCCTGATCTTCCTGGGTCGGTTTCCTGGGTCGACCAGATCTAAGAGCTCAGGGAGAGGCAGGGCAGGCCTGGGCTGTGTGGGCAAAAGGGGGACCAGAACCAGGAGTCCCGCCTGCCTGGGCGGTGCTAGACATCTCTCCCAGCAAACTCAGGCTGAGAGCGGGGCGCCCAGAGCACAGAAGCTGGGAGTTTGGTAACTTTGGGGCGAATCAAACACAGGTTCATTACAGGAAACTTGAGCCCTAGTTTGGACAAAGCTTGCATTTCCACCAAATGAAATTAGGGACATAAGGAATCAAGAATGCATCTTCCCTGTCCCCGAACAACTCAGAACCCAAGGCAGAGGCTTCATGTCAAATGCAGTTAAAGAAAAAAGAAAGAGAGACCAGCCAGAGAGGCCTGCAGTGAGCCTGCCTCCCCCCGACCCCAGGCCTGCACCGAGGACGGATAGGGAGCCCAGTTTCCCTGGGAGGGAAGCAGGTGGAATGGCTCCCCCAAAAAGGGTAGGGAAGAAGCTTCCATGAAGGCTCCAAGGTTCTGCTGGTGACAGGGATGTGGAGGAATCCGAGGGGTATCAGGACTGGGGGAAGAGAGGAGGGCCTGCCTGGGACCTCCAGAGGAGAAGACATGGTAGGGGCATGAAGACAGGGCCAGAGGATGACACCAGGCCCCAGGCCCTCTGTAGCTCCTTGTCCTAGGAGGCCGGTGGAAGATCCTGCAGTGCTGATCCTGGCAGGGACAGCGCAGGACAAACCGCAAGCACAATAGAGGCTGCTTCCTAAGTCCCAAAACCAGCCCCCAGGCAACTCGAGCCAGCTCCGGGGAGGATGGGGCAGAGCTGAGGGCTAGAGCAGACGGAGCAGGAGGGCCTGACATGGGGCCAGGACCTGGCTGATCTCCAGAGAACGGACCGCTCATGGATGAAAACAAACTCAAGTTTTGGGGAAAACACACATCACCACCACATTGTTCCCATGATAAACCTGATTTAAAATAAGCAGGTGGAGGGTGGGTGCAAGGAGACTGCCTGAGAGTCTTCAGAAGAGCCCAAGATGAACGGCAGGTCTGCAAGCCAGCGAGGCATGCAATGAGAATCTCCAAGAGATGCCGCCAGGCCCAGAAAGGCCTCCAGATCACCTGATCCCACCCTCCCATTTAGGAGACAGGGGAACTGAGGCCCAGGGAGTGCAAGGGAGTGCCCAAGGTCACCTAGTAGGCTCAGGGTGGATGTGTGCCTGCAACCCCGGAGTCCTGAGTCCGGTGGAACTTTTTCTTCTCTGACATAGCCTTGCTGTCTGCAAACCCACTTCACTGCTAAGAGGTTGGGGATGGGAAAGGAAGGGTTTGAAGGAAAAGCCCCCCACCCCTGGGGATGTGGAGGAGGGAGAGCAGCAAAGGTCAGGGACAAACAGGGGACATGGACTGACTGATTAAAAGGCTGACAGAGGAGGACAGGAATCACTCCTACCCCACCTGTTCACAGCCTGAGTATAAAAATTTGACGATATGATACATTTCTTCTAGAAAACACTGGTTAAAACCGTCCTAGCACAAGAAGATTCTGCTAGTCCCTGTACAGTATTAACTCTTCAAAATGTTACTTACATGATGATTGGGGGCGAGCGAGGAGGGGAATGTGACTTTAAACCAGAGTGTACATGGCCACCTTAAAATTAACTTGTTAATAAGTCCTGTGCAAAAGGAGCAAGCCTCTATCATTAGGTGAAGTACGTTTTTCAGGTATTCATTTATACACACGGGAAGGAGAAGGAAGCAGAGGCATCCGAGGTGGTGGGTGGACAACTCAGAAGTGCGTCTCCTTTTCTGTGATGGCTGCAATGGTCCCATCGCCCTTGAGTTTGGTGTCACAGTCATTAACCATCACCGTCCGTGGGCCTGCCCCAAGCTTGCCCCTCATTTTCAGATCAGCACTGGGGATCACCAACTTCCGGAATTTCTAGGTGGTTGGAGAGAAGAGCTGTCTGAGAGCAGCTGGGAAGAAGTTTTGGGTGACTGATTTCTCATGATCAAGGTTCTGTTTTCTCTTTCAGATCCTGCCATGCCTAAGGGGCTGAACCTATGTTGCCCAAGTGGGATTAACAGGCAGACTCATCTGTGCTGAACGCCTCCTGTGTGCCAGGCACGGCACCAGGTTCTTGACACAGGACAGGGGTTAAAAGCATGGGTTTGGGAGCCAGGTGCCCGGGTTTGAACCCCAGATCTACAATTTAACTGGGCCAAAAAATGTAACCTCTCTGTGCCTCAGTTTCCTCATGTGTCAAACACTGGTATCTGCTTTCTAGGATTATTCAAAGGCTCAGGATAGTTGATTTACCCATAGATTAGCACAGAATACATATCCTCACAGCCATTCTCTGAGGTAAGGACCATTGACCCCATTTTTCCTTCCAGATCCTTCCTGTCAGTTGGCAGAACCTTCTGGAAATGGAGGGAGGTAAATTAACTGATACAAGTTCTCCCAGTAAGGAAGGGCTGGAAACCAGGTCTGACTACCTCCAAAGACTTCAGTTTTTAATAAGCCCTGCCCTCTGTGCATGCAGATATGTGAGCTTAGGAAGACAGAGGGAGCTCAGCAAAGTAACCTCTCCTTCCTCTCTC